AAGCGCACTCCTAGTGAAGACGGGCTAATCAACCATGGGAGTTGTTATTAAGTTGTAGTTGTTGCTGAGTAAATCTTTTGAATAGAAGAGATGCTGACTAATAGAAAATCATGTCAATGTTCCATTTTATTGAGTGAGACTCGATGCCACATTGATCGACGAAACCACCACATGTTGCACATCAACTGGAATCAATGTGACTCTGAAGAAACTGAAGACGTCAAGTCGCTAATCGAATAAATTATGATTTGCCAACCCGTGCTATCTCAGCTATCTGGAAAATACTGCTTACTTGTCGGTTCAAGTGACTTTATCGCAGTCTAGGTCTGTTACAGATTTTTCAACCGTGGAGGAGTAACGGATTTACTTGAGTAGAATGCAAAATTCATCAACGACGATGTCTCTAACACGACACTTCCACCCAGTCTGCTATGTATTAGCAGTCTTGAGAAACTAGTTGCGTATTATTTACAGCCTTCCATTCGAAAGATGCCTATCTAAGAGTGCCATTGAAACATTAATTATAGTCTGTGAGAATATCTGAAACCCTTTCGAGGTCGCTACGTCGATGGCACACGTACGTTTCGAAGGCATCGCCCGTTTCATCAGTGCTACACGCCCTACACTGAAGCGTGGTTCATAAGCAGAGTTGGCGATACGTTATGGCGAAAGCGCATAACATTCTCACAGACTATGATCGCAGCGAAGTTTAAAATCAGTCATTGGAAGGACGTCTACATATTCTATTTGTACCACTACTTGTATAGCTCATTTGACCTATCCTGCTTGATCTCAGAATTCCTCCACTTTGCTTAAACATTACGAGGTCGCCATTTATAAAAGCGGTATAGTTAGAAGGTAGATCTATTTTAATGGCCTGTTCACACTGACGTATGAAAATTTCTGACTGAAAAGAATTTCTCTCAAATCTTGTTATGTCCGTCCATTCAGCGACTGTTCCAGATTTGAATTACAAGCAGCCGTAAACCCACCTTGATTAGTTAGTGTCATGCATTGCAACTATGTTTTCTTCTATAACTGCGAATTCCTTTCTTTCTTCTAACCTACTCATGTACTGAGCTTGTGACTAAGCTCTGCTTTACCCGTAATCTCCACATGGCCCTTCATGCAAACTTCATCTTATGATTCAGAATTAATCGGATGCCATTGTGAAGAGCTTGTCATTTCACTAGCACAATTCATATCACTAATGCTTCTAAATTTCTACGGTAATATTGTTATCTGCTCAGATATTAAAAGAGTAGCCCTGTAGTTGTCAGCATTCTCAAACGTGGATAAATAAGCGATTACATACATAAATACAGTTGAACTGAACGAAAATAATGATAGAACAAAGATAAATAACGATAAATCACGATAATTCAATTGCAAAGCTATGTTTATAGCAGTCCTGTCACGTGTCGAAGCAAACGATAATAATTTGGAATTAACTCAATAATGTAGAGTGATGTGCAAAAGCATTTGCGTCAACTGGGATTCCAGTCCAGATTTCACTACTTCCGGGAGCGCATGCTGAACTGTTGACTACCGACGCCCGTTTTGAAACCACTCTTTCTACGCTACAACGCGTCATCTATCAACAGAAAACCGTCTACGGTCTGGCATAAGCAGTCACTATCGATATTGAACCCATTACGATGATGATATATATTGGGTTTCGATTATCAATCAGAATTTATTTTATTTGACCGAGTATTGCGGTGGTATGATGTTACAATAAACCCAACAATGTAGATTGACGTGCAAAAATATTTGCGTCAGCTGGGATTCGAAACCAGATTTCACTCTTCTCCCCACGCCAGGCCGTAGACGGTTGGCTGTTGACAGATAACGCGTTGTGGCGTAAAAAGAGTGCTGTGCAAAACGAGCGTCGGTGGTGCAACGGTTAGAATACGATCCTGGGAAGAGTGGGATCTGGATTCGAATCTCGGCCAACGAAAACGTTTTTGCACAGCATTCCACATTAATGGGTAGATTATTAGATCATACCACCGCAAGCGCATGTGGCGCAGTGGTTAGAGGTGCGCTGCGTTGCAAACGGGGTCAATGGTTCGATCTCGCGCTCATGGCTCACCAAGCCATCCATCCCTCCGGGGTCGGTAAATTGGTACCAGACAGGTCTCAGACTTGTCTGGGAGGAAAAGCAGCACTGACTCGGTTCAGCGGGAGGCTTCCGCGAGTCATTGTAAAGGCCAGATATGCATTCAATCACCTCAAACGAAGTTAAAAATTGAAGTAGAATGCATGGCGCATCCCTCAAGGGTTGATCAACGCCGAGAGCTTTATCCTTTATCCTTTTACCACCGCAAGAGGCGGCCAAATAAATGAATTTCGATTGCGCACCAGTAGTTAAGAAGTTTTACATGATAGATAACTTGATGAACTTCCTCACTGATAATAACGTTTGAACAACGCAGCTTTGGCACAGTCATCTTTAGTCATATTTGCAGGCAAACGCATATTTTGCGTTTCCGTTGCGATGAAATGCACATACAAGCGTCGTTAGTGGGTTTGATATTTGGAAATGTTCTTTTTGCTTATGATGACATCGATATCACCTTTTCCACTCTGATGTAGGTAAAGTCACAGATTAGATGAATAATTAGGTATCCTAAATTCCAAACTCTTTGAATCGCATCAAGTTCGGCACCGCCTAGTGCCATTTATTGCTCTCAACTCTTTACAATACTAAACACCTAAACAGCACAGCTAACCTGGAGGAACTGTTAAGAAGTTTCTTTGCATCATTTTCTCAAACAGTGAAATCTTGTTGTGACTAGAACGAAAGAGAGTATTTTCACTGACTAACATATTTTTTAGATTTTTGATTGATGTCTCTAAAAAATCCAATGTTTGTGGAGCTACCAGAAGAACGTATTGAAAGTCTTCTTGAAGCCTAGATTAGTTCACTGATATTGTTCTTCTAAAATATCAACGTCGATTCGCCTGAAGCAGACATTCTTCATAAACATCAAGTAGAGCATCACAACGCACGCAGCTAAGTATGACTTTTGTCGACTTTGAAACAGATAGCAATGTTGCTGTTTTGTCCTTGTTGAATATGAGTCTCTATAGAGTACGGTAACGCAATATCGTGCAGCAGTATCACGAGCATTTTTCTCTAATTCGCAGCTGTACTTCTATTCAACATAAAAATCAATTTCTTTTCTCACAGAAACTAAGTTATTTGTTATGGATAAATGTTCTCACCAACTCACTCAATCCCTTGTTCTCCCTGAAAAGAACACTTTTAGAATGTGCTTATGCCCCTGTGGTGCTCATTTCAACAGTTATCAGGAACCAACGCATTTTCGTCCTTATTTCTGAAAATGAAGAAACAAAATTGGAACGTAGGAAACGCTTATTTGCTGAAGCAGACTCCTGACTGGCTCCCATGTATTTCCCAGCCGCTCGATTAGCAGGCTTTTGGCCGACTTGACTCGTGGAAATAGTGTTTTGTCAACTCAGCGCTGCAGAAGCAAAGAACTCATCCCCTAAATTCGCCTGCGTCTCTGGAAAGCACTACGTTCGGTTTTGGTCCGCCTTTAGTTCCTCTATCCACCACCTGAGAATGCGCCACGTGTCTTCGCGTCTAATCGGGAGCTATCCCTCAAAGAGGGAGATCCGTGGATGAAGTAGATTATGAATCACAAATTTTACATTTTTACAAAATAATCTCTACTCCGTCACTTTGAGGTTATTTGGCTATAACGGAACATCGTTGAGGAAAAAACTCCTCAACACTCGCGCAAAATTCGAATTTTTTATTTATTTCTTACAATATCGGTCTATGTGAAATCACAGGGATTATCTTAGGAATATTCTCATAAGAAACTCCCACGGCAACGCTAGTTATTGTGCATTGAGATTTGATTGACTCTACGAATCTCAAATGCTGGCGACGGAAAAATTTGAGGACATGATCTGCCTTTGGTGAAAATTTTAAAGGCATCTTGCATTTTGGATTTGTTCCGAGTCGCGCCATCAATACCAAGTTCTAATGCGAAGCAGCTGACAGAGTCTACGATGAGTTGAAGGAAAATTGCCCGACATTGATTTGTCGCCAACGCTCACATCACAAAAGACCAAGAAACAGTTTGGTGAATTGGAAGCAGTCGAGGCCTTGCCGCACCCAGCCTACCGTTCAGATGCCGCGCCGTCTTTTCCGCTCAATGGAATATTTCCCGCGTAGACGCAGTTTCACGAAATTTGACAAGTTGAAAATTCATGTCAGGAATTTTATTCAAAGCTCAAGGAATAATGCTTTTCGAGCACATTCGCAAGCTTTCAGATTTATGATCAAAATATAAATCAAAAAATGAATCAACATTTCACGCAGACAAATCATCTTCTGTTCAATCAACAATAATTATTATCAACTCGATATGTAATAATTTGATTTGCGATCAATGTGCTTCGTTGTGAATGTCTCAAAAAAAAACCAAACGTATCGCAACAAAAAGAAGAGCAATAAAGGTGGTCATTCGTGTTCAGTGATTTGCCATTTGAACCACCTGAATCCAGCTGGAATAGTAATGTTACAACAGATGGGCTCTTCTGAGCACTATGTGGTCAGTGGGGTAACCCGAGACTATGCGTGGTACTCTTTACTTGTAGTTCTCCCCAACTTTTCAATTCTAATCACGTAGGAGCACCTTGGCTCGCTAACTTCACAACTGTAAGGAGAATCGGTTCGACCGGAATTGTTCAACATTTATGTAGAAGGAAATGAACAAGCGGCGGCCGAGACAACATTTGAAGAATTCGAAGACATCTGTATAAAATGAAATCGAGGGTACTGATCGAATGTGAGGTATTTTAAAATCCTCGAAAGAGATGTGTTGACAAGTTATGTTAAATAAATAGATTGAATAAGTAATTCAAGTCAGAGTTCAAAATCATAGTATTTCTACTGCTTATTTCGCAGTGTTATGATGTTACTTATATAACTTAGAGAATTGAGTGGTGAGCAAAGACACTGCCTCAGGCGGGAATCGATCCCGAGTTTCGTCCTATCCGGTGACGCGTGCTCTAACCACTACACCACCGAGGCACATTTACCCGACCAAGTCATAGTTATATTAAAGTAGAACGTTTGCATAGCTAAAATACTTTAATTTATTACTTTTGATCACTGAGCGACGTGCATCAAGCTCGGTAAGACTGCGATAGTCTAGAATCTACTATACTTATTGATATGCACAAAAAACAGCTTTGCCAAAAGTCCTGCTTACGCGTTCAGAAGTAGCAGTTCTTCCGCGGTACCAAATATCTGTAGATCACTCAATTTTATTGTAATTTACTATAACATCACCGCAATTAATCCTCTTCAAAGACGACGACTTGAGTCAGTTGCTGATAATCTTGCAACAAAATCTGATAATAGCCGAAATGCGTTTGATTAAATATGAAAACAGAATCACTTTCACACCGTATGCATCATATTCAGTGCATGTTAATGCGAATGAGTCAAATACATCTGAACAAGCAGAAGCAAGAAGAACAAGAGTAACAAGGGCGTTCATCGCGGTGAAATGATTATCCATTCGGACCGCTCACTTTTATACGAGTCAAAATCGTATTTTTCTATAAGGCTTGCCTTGATGAGCCCACCGGGCAGTCTCCTTTCTCGCTGGAATGAGAAGAAAAATCCCATTTGCTCGTCGGTCCGCTTTGCTCTGTGTCGCGCGACTAATTTTTTTCATTAGAAATTGGAGATATTATTGATAGCACGTCGGCATCGGAATGGCAATGTTTTCGTCCGCATGAAAGGTGATTGATAAAATGGGACAAAGAAAAAGAATTTTCAGTGGTTCAATTCCTGAACTTCCTTTTTATGACCATCAACTGCGATATCATAGGGAACTGTAGCCGAGTGGTTAATGATACTCGGCGCGTGGTTGATCTCTTCCGCAAGCAGACGATGAGCGTACGAAACGCCTCAATCTGGCTACTCTCGAAACTTCAGGGAGATAATGTAAACCGGCTTTTTTCTCACCGTGGCATTGAATTAATTATTTTTCGCTTGTTGATTAGCAAAGTAACAAGAGGTGTTAATAGCATTTTTTATTCTGCTAACTTTTAGAAGGATTATATCTTCTTTATACCCGATCATTTAACTCGGTCATTCACTGCCGTTCGTCCTCATTGTGCAGCTTCATCTTTGTCTCGCTTGAGTGGAACCTTCTTTACTAAAGCACCGCTCGAATGCCGAACCTGACTCAACCTCATACATAGATTCAATCGCATGCCATTTAGCTAATTATCTGAGCAAATAGAAGGCGATGTTCCACAACGAGGACAAACGACAGTGAACGAGTGATCCAAATTGGCTCTGAAGAAGACGAAACGTGAGGAAACGTTGGCCGGAAGAATTGTTATTGACACTTGCGCTACAAGCTTATATAAGAAAGATTATACTGCAAGCAGCTCTTCTCAACCAGTATTCTACGACGTGTATAAGAGGACGAGTCTTCAATAAACACCAAGCTAGAAGCAGTGGAGCACACTCAGTGAAAAAAATTGTGACGCTGATCGATTGAAGCTATTTCGATGCCATCATGAAGAATGCGTTCTAGAGCACATTGGTTGGATGCGCAGAATGGTCAATTGAAAATTTTAAATAAAAAGGTGAAAGTTTTCCCTGGCTCGAAAACTTTCTGACCGACCTCTTTTGCGCAAAAAGCAAACACTTTGAATCGTTTTGTGAAATGTTACACGTCCCGATCAAGTGCGCTTTTTTTAGCAGTAGACCCTCGGCAATAAGCCTTCCATTGGGTCTATCACAATACTGTCTGAGATTCACCAAGCGATCATGGGAGTTGTGCCTGTGCTTGCGTATGGAAAGAGTTGTACGTGTTTCCTCCCAAACTGCGCAGTTCAAGCAGCATCATCCTGCATCTATGCTTTTTACTGCTACGCTATTTACATTAAATATTAAAATTTATCCAAGACGGTGAAAAATTTTCCAAATGAATAAAAAAAAGCAAGCGTTCTGTGGCAGCAAGTGAAATCTTTGAGCGCAGCTCCATAAGAATGAAAGCGATTCTTGTTATTTATTCAAAAATATTTAGTCTGTCACAAGAAGATGTCCAAATTTATTCCTGTAATTTGATTCAACACAATTAGCTCTATATGCTTATATGGTTTTGATGTATATATATATATATATGTGTGTCTTATGGGCAAAGAAAGCTCTGAGGGCGAAACGTATTTTTCTTTTTATTCTCACAACATTCTGTAAAAACTCTTTGCAAGAAGAAATTTGCTCTAGAATTTCCATTAATTAATGACATCAAACGGCTGCTGAACTTTGAGCGCAAAGCTTCGTAGGCCATAACCGAACGAATAAGGAAAACCGAATTTGAAACACAACTTTGTTTTCGCTGTTACAATGCACTGAATATTTTTAAGAACCATCTGAGAATCGTAATCGCCATAATTCAAACTATCAAGTAACTACTAAAAAATTAGAGAAAAAGCTTTCTCCACCATAGAAAGCTTGGTCCCAAAAGGGTTTTTTACGTTTCATTATCATTGACTTGGCATCGCATGCACTGTGTAACATCTTTTTTGACAAAATAAACATTCTTTTCCTGTTTTCAATCTTTATTATAACTCTTAAATGTTGTGTATAATGAAATATATCATGATTGATACATTCATATCACTATATTCCTTGTACAAGCTGTTACACTTGATTGATCGTCGTGATTGCGTAATAAAAGAGAGCTTTTTGATCAAACATAAACATTATATCTGCACAAAAAGCATACGATTATGCGGAAAAAGTCATGAAGTATCGAAATAGAACGAGAAGCCATAAATTATCTCTTGCAACGGCGAAAAAACCCTCATTAAATAACAAAAAACGCGTATCGGCTGCGGTTTACACTGCACGTGGCGATTACAATTGGTGGTCCCGAAAGTGTTAAAGACCGCAAGCGGGTCCAAAAAGACCTCATCGCCTTCTTTGCTCTCCATCTTCATTCTTTGGGAGAAAGGATCCATTCTCTGCTCAGCAGTAATAGCATGCCATTGAGCATATTGGTGATTGGATGGCTGATTAACTGAATTCCTTCTGAGCAACTTTTTCGAGACTTCGCTTAGAATCCGACTTAGTCTGATAGATTCTTTAAGTCTTGAGAGGTTTAGTATGGCATCGTTAATGCTAGACGTACGTTACAGTGTTCTTGCACACCTCGTCAGTAGCACAGGTCTGTCGGTTCACCCTTACAGCTAAGGGTAGCGAGGCAAAGATGTATCACTGCACACCAGGTGGAAAGATCACTTATTCTTGCTGTGATTTACATTCGATTGCTCATGATTGGTAAAACGCATGGAGCAACACCTTCCCTATCAACTGTTTCTGTAACTTCGCTCAAAAGAAGTCATCTAGTAGAAAATTGATTGAATTCTTTGAAAGAAAAACGATTGATTTGACCAAAAAGTGTTGAGAATTTGGGAAGCGGAACATAGACTAGCCATATAAAGTTAGGAATCGACAAAAGATGTTTGTAATGAATGTTTGTAATGAATATAAAAAAATTCTCGAAGTACGCTAGAGTCTTTTACGATAATCGCCTTAGGACCAGAGGAGATGTTCGCAGTTCACTTCGGTCATCTGCAATGATTAGCCAAAATTTTGAAGAAACAAGGCAGTGTTCGAAATACGACACTATGCTCAAAGTGGATAAACTTGAACAATGCCGATGAGGTAAAAATCTAAAAAATGTGTTAGAGCTAGCACAACTTTTGATGATGATCATGAAAGCATCCGCAGATGCTTTGCTAATAAACCTTTCCACGTGCCTTTCATCGGGACAAGAAATGGTGCACGTGAATCCCACTCACAGAAGGAATAGCACAAGAACGTTAGTTCAAAAGTTCGTTCAAGCAATTCATTTCTGGTGAATTATGCTCTGGGAACACAACATTGTCGGGACGAATAATTTTAGCAAAACGAAATATCTTTCCCTTTTAATAGAAAAATTGAGAATTAAATTGCAAGCACGGTGTTCAATTGGTCATCTGGAAAACGAAACGAGACCATTAGAAAAATGGCGGATGCCAACTGATTGTGGTTACGTTTTAATCCTAATTTTTTTCTCAGTTGATAGTTCTCTTGAATACAAATGCACCTAATTCCACTAAACCGTCAAGATCGTACTTTATTGAGAGAAAACGAAACACAAAAATCCACCTGCTACTCAGCGTGTCTTAATTTAACATTGCAAAAAACGCTTATGTGTACACACTTTTTTGTGTAGTGATCGATTTCAATATTCTCAGATCCAAGTATGTTTTCCATCCTTTTTTAATCATGACCTGGCTGACGACCCTTACGTATAGAAAACAGGCGTCAGAGGATTTCTTCATGCTATCGAAATAGTTGGTTGAAATAGTTCGCTAAAGAAACCAGCAGTTGTAATTCCTTTTCTTTTATTCCACCTTCATCATTTCATTTTTGACCGAAGTACTTCGCTCATGAATTCTTTATAAAGCGAGTTAGCAGGAAAATTAGCAGCATAATAATGAAAGCTGAGACACAACGCAAGTGGATACGTTCATCTCCTGATATGATGTGTTATGAAATCTGCAATAGTTTATCTGGTTCCTGAAAAAAATCTGCTCATGACACACAGAACAGAGAGGTTCATTTCGGTGATTGCATTTTACTGATCACACCATCAGTCTAAGAGGAAAAAGAGAATCGATAGCTAAACAAAGCCCATACCAAGAAAAAATACGAGTTTAGTACATGCGAAAATGCCCTGTTCAATTGGAATATCCTTCTGCACAGACGAACGCCTTCGTCAATCTTCTCTTTCTCATTGCGGTAAGTTTAGATATGTTTGACAGAATCGCGACGACAGGCACTGAATCCGATACCGATGGTGCGAATTTAGTGTCAGCTTCCAGGTCTTAACTAGTACATTTTGGCTATAAACATATTCCATTAACTTTATTATCAACAGTCGGCTTGAATCATCAGCTCTGAAGATGACAAGCACCTCGGAAAGTCAACCAAAGAATTCCAAAAGCGCCTATCAC